AAAGAAATTGGTGGTGAAAACAACAGTGTTCTGAAGACACAAGAATTTCACTGAGCCTCATAGTTGGAATGAACTATGTATACAGTGTATGAACTGCATCTCAATAAAGCTGCTCTGTTGGCTGTGGTGCACGACTTTAATCCCAGCACTCAGGAGGCAGAGGCAGGTGGATATCTGTGGGTTCAAGGCCAGCTTGGTCTACATAGTAAGTTCCAGACCAGATGGAAAAGTAGTGGGGAATGGCTGGGGGTCTGACAACACAGCGGACAGTAGCAGGGGTATCAGAGTATAAGGGCTCTAGTAAGGGGAGGGAGGTTATGGGAGGGTGATATCCGGGAATTGGGTGTAAAAAAAAATTTTTTTTTTAAATCTGAAGAGAGAACCTGAAGCCTAGACCAACCAGCTTTTCATACCCAATCAGAAAGCAACCAGCATACCTCAATAATACAAACAGAATCAGACTTCAACTCAAAAAAGGAAGGCTTGAGTTTCATACTAGAAAGAATCAAAAGCAACAAAAGAAATCCATGGGCCAAAACCACAATGAAGAAATAATGATAGGAAAATCCAAAATATATTCCCATCAAACACAACCAGTCCTACAGTAGAGTTCTACAATGAGAACCCCCTAGAGATAACACAGAAAACAGAATTTAAAAGAACAATCATAAATATGATCAAAGAATTCAGCAAATTTAAAGAATACACAAACAACGAAAAGAAGATAGGGATAAACTTCTGGCTGAATTCACAAAAGAGAAATATTGAAGAAAATTCAGGCTGAAATGAAGAAGGAAGTGAAAAACTCAATAAGCCAATTTGAAATGACAGGCGAAAACCTCACCAATAAATGAAATGAAAAACAGAATATCAAGATTGGACAATAAAGTTGAACAATTAGAGCACTCAAACAAAGAACATGGGCCCACTGTATCTCTATTCCATTCCTCTCACAGACCCCCACCCTGTCCTCTGCCAGCCTTGGCCCCAGGCAGGCCCCAATTCCTCCGCCTCAGATTCATGGACTAGCTTCCTAACCCAGACTAGCTAAACACCTGACTACAGATGGCTAAATCCCTACTCAGGTGCCCCTCCCTCTCACCACTGCCATCTTCCCTGGCTCAGGAGCAGCCAGACAGACCTGCTCAGCCAGGACTCTGGTAAGTCGGATCCTACCCACTGCTTTTGTATTCCATTCCACTTGCCCACCCCCACCCTGTCCCATGCCAGCCTTGGACCCAGGCAGGCCCCAATTCCTCTGCCTCAGATCCCTGGACTAGCTTCCTAACCCTGACTAGCTAAACTCCCAAGCATAGACTCCTCTGGCTCCTGATCTGACACAGATCCACCCTCCTACTAACCTGACCAGCCTACCTACTATCCTGTTCCACCATCCACTCAGACCAGTCTACTACCCTGCAAGAACCTGAAACACACACCAGTTTATTTTCCCTATCCTGAACAAAAAGCAACTAAGCTACATAATCAATATAAACAAAACAAAAATTAAGTTAAACAAAAGCAGAATAGAGGTCCCTACTTGTTGGGGACCCCTGCTGTGAAGTCGTAGTCTCTCCATGTCCGGGTGACCCACGGGCTCGGTTTCATATGCAGATGACTCCTTTCAGCAGAGTACCTGGCATCTTCCTAACTCTCCTTTGAAGTAGCCGCCATAGAAAACATGGCCTCTGGCTCTGGAAATACCATGCTTTCCTGTGTGATTTTTCAAGCAGTCTGACAGTCTGGCAGCCTGGCGGGAGCCCATTTCCACACGCAAATGAGGCATCCCCAAAATACCTATCAGCTAAAGATTTTACCAATGCCCCTACAGTATAAAAATATCCTAGTCTTCTCAATGATTTGGAGCTAGAAGCGGAGCTGGAGCTAGACCAGGAACTGGGTCACTGAGACTTGGAATAAAGAGCTATAGCACTGAACCTGACTGGACTGAGTCTGTGTCTCCTGCCTGCAATCAAGTCTCCCCGGGGGGGGGCAGCATTCCTCCGTCACCGACTCACGGAGCCCTAGCTTCAGCCGCCTAGTACTTTCCCGCGTGGTCCAGCGGCTGGTGGAACTCGCATATTGAGGAAAGTACACGGGTGAAATCAGGGCAGAAACACGGCTGGACAGTGCTCCATCAGCAGAGACCCACGGAAGACGCAGGGAAGCAGCGGAGAGAACCCCCGCAGAACTCGCTGCCTTCCAGACCACGCACAGGGGACCAATCCCCGCGGGACCATGCGCACCATATCTGGCGCCACAACGTGGGACCCTCTGAACCTCGTGCCAGCTAGGAGCTGGTACCCTCGGAAACGCAGGATTCATGAGTACCTCTCCCACCAGGAGAGAAGCAAAAATCTCTTCTAATTTCCTCCTTTTGTTTCCAGTCTAAAAGTCTTCGTGTGGGACTGCTAAGGACAGAGAGACAACTGAGGCTTCCTGGTCAGGGCTACTCCCTGATGTTAGCTAGTCAGTTTTGTTATCCTGCCCCCCCACAGGGCATTCAAGCCACAGCTAAGACCAGTTAAGTGAAAATTTAAATTAACTAGCCCTGCAGAAGCACCTGGGAGTCCAAGGTGGCTCCCAGAACAAAAGATTTAAAACCAACACTTTTTTTCCTGCAGCCTAGGGGCTTGTAACTTGCCAAAGCGGCTCCCAGACAAAAGATTTAAAACAAACATTTTTTTTCTGCAGTTTGAAACTTCTGCCTGTCAGAGCAGTGTCAGATTGCTGCAGAACATTAAAGGCTTCCTTTCATAATGGGATGCCAGAGAAAACTCCAAATTCGTTCCCTTAAGACCCTGATTAAATCTAGAGGGCTTAAGATCTCTCAAAAAGAAAGCTTAAAATTTTGGAATGAGGTGTATCAGTTTGCACCCTGGATCCTTAATTGTGGAGGGACCCCTTTAATGGACTCTAGAAAGAACCAGATCCATTGCTAACCACAGAGAGAAGATTTGCTTGTGTTTTCCCACAGGATCAACCAAAGAAAAAAAAGAGGCAGATACGACACCCCAATCCCACAGGATCAACCAAAGAAAAAGAAAAAAAAAGAGGTGGAGATGACGCCCAAAGCCCCCCAGAGCCTCATTCTCTGTCATCCTCATGGCTTTCTCTACCCTGCTTAACACCAATGCTTCAGCCAGCCCCCACTCTCCTTAATACCATGTTCCAGAGATTTTATTTTTCAAGGAAAAATCAGATCCATGGGACAATTGCTGGCATGTTGGAGTAATAGCAGAATTTTACTCAGGTGCATTCTCTAGGTACCCTATAGCTAACTTTCATGTCTCTCAACAGCTTGCATCTGCAGCCAAGTCTGTACTAAATCATAATATTATTCTACAGGAAAGACAGAGGACCAGATAAGATACTATGTCCTGGAACAAGTTTAACTTTCTTCCCACCTACCCCAGTGTCTAATTGCCTTCTCCTGTATATCCAGCAATAGATTTTTGCTGACAGCAGTACCAGTTACCACCCTTCTCTACCCAAGAACAGAAAAAGACTTCACTGACTCTCATATAAGTGGATTCAAACAACTAACTAATTATTTAATTTGCATTTTCAGCAACAAGCCTCCCCAGTCTTTTCCTATAGAGTGAGGAAAAGCCAAAAACTGTGTTAATTTCTCTTTGTCCACATTTTGTATAATAATAATTGCATCATGTAATAATGATTGCATCCCAGGAGCTGCTAGCAGAGAAAGATCTTCTTCCCCCTGCTGGCAGAGACCGAACTTACACTGGATGCTGGAAACATTGCCATGG